TGCGGATCCATTTGCAAAGCTTTATTCTTAAACATGGTCAACACAGGCAAGGATCAGACAATGGCACACAGGTATATCGAGAGCAAGACAAGAGTAATCCAAAGCAGGCATGGTAGATCTGCGGCTAACAGTATCCAGAGGGCTTGACAAGAGGGGTAATCCGATAACATGAGCAATAGTCTAGGCAAGGTGCAAACACAGTCCGAACAGCAAGACAAAAGGGATAATCCAAGACAGGCTAATAATTCCAGGGCAGGCAGCTGACAGACAGGATGAGAAAAACAGACTGGAATCAAGACACCGGTATAACAAGACTAAACTAGGAGAGGAAACTGGCTCCGTAAAGTGCTACCACTTAGAGAGCGATAAACGCAAACAATACTCGGCGATCTGAACGAGAAAGTCCAGGGCTTATCAAGAGTGTCTAGTGCAATGGAGCATGGGAAATGTAGTCCAGGGTGATGTGTAACAGTCTGTGTGGTGTGAGAGTCAATATCATGGGAGGGCGACCTCTGGTGGCAAGTGGATGGAAGTTCATGGACCGGATTCGTGACAGTTGTTCTGTGTCTGCACAGCATCGTAAGAATTTTAAATGTATTTAAATATTTCCATAAAACAATTGATTATTTATTTTTAAAAACAGTAATTTAATGAATTGAAAAATGAATTGAAAAAAAATCATCCCCAGATAAATAGCTAAAAATTAGCTAGTAATATTATCTGATTATTTTCAGAAACGTTAACAAGGGCGTATGGTCTTTTCCTTATTAACATCCATCTGAATGGGTGGAGTTTCTAATGAACTTTAATAGTGAGGTCCTGCTTACTGGGATTGACAGCCAAACCCCTCCCATTCTGTCTCCTCAGCATGCTTTTTCACACACAAACATATGCACACACTCTCACACACACGTCCAAACACAGTTCACATTCACAGTCTTGCTCGTCTGGACAGAATGATCAATAAAGAGTCACAATCTTCAGACCACCTTACAACAGCCTCACGCAGAGGGGTAAGCAAATAAACCTTTTATCACTGCATTAATAATGGCATGATTGTTACAGAAATTTATGTATTTTGTATTTGATATTTGTTTTCTTATCAGATCATGTAGGATCAGATCATAGAACAAATGTTTGTTTAGATTAATGAAGAATTTCATTGATTTTGTTACACTATTTTATTGATTGGTATGATATCTCTGAAATCTGCCATATAATGTTATATCTCTACAAAAGAGCAATTTGTGGGCTTGCATCTCAAAATAAATATATGTGTATATAATATGTGACCCTGGACCACAAAACCAGTCTTAAGTCGCTGGGGTATATTTGTAGCAATAGCCAAAAATACATTGTATGGGTCAAAATTATAGATTTTTCTTTTATGCCAAAAATCATTAGGATATTAAGTAAAGATCATATTCCATGAAGATATTTTGTAAATTTCCTACCGTAAATGTATCAAAACTTAATTTTTGATTAGTAATATGCATTGCTAAGGACTTCATTTGGATGACTTTAAAGGTGATTTTGTCAATATTTAGATTTTTTTTGTACCCTCAGATCCCAGATTTTCAAATAGTTGTATATCGACCAAATATTGTCCTATCTTAACAGACCATACATCAATGGAAAGCTTATTTATTCAGCTTTCAGATTATGTATAAATCTCAATTTTGAATAATTGACACTTAAGACTGGTTTTGTGGTCCAGGGTCACATATATAATTTAAATAAGCAATTCCATGGTAGGATGTTTCGAATGACAGCACAGAAGCAGTATTAGAATGATGTTAATCCTGTATGTCTTTGAGTTCAAACCGCTAACCACTTTCTTTGATCAAATTAGAAACTGAAACCATAATATGGGTTAGGGTAAGAGGCTCCAGGATGATATGAGTACATACTTATATCTGGTTGAGTAGGGTACAAAACTGAGTGTGCTCCTGACCATCTTTACAGAAGATAACAAACCAATGATTGACAGAGTGCCTGTGGGCTTGACAGTGTGTGGAAGAGTTTCCCAAATCTCACAACATGGCACTTTTTTCCCCAAGCAAATGCTGAAAGTCATTAGTTAACATTAGGTAACATTTTTATTAACAGTTCCCAGGCTCAAAAAATAACCCTCTTCCTCAATTACTCACTGTAAAATGATTTTGTCAGTTAAAAAAAAAAAGCTTAATAAAGGCTTAATAATTATGTAATAACTTTAAATCTAAATTAAAGCATCGTGATTACAAGGTTACATTAAGTTACCTTAAAATTTAAAGTTCACCTCATAATTTCAAATGCACATTTTAACCTTTTATGCGCATGTTGGATAAATGATTGCTTGATGTCTAGATTCAAAGCATGACTACATGGTTTTCTAAAGTAATTGTGAATAAAAAGTTAAAGGGGTCATATGATGCTTTTTTAAAGATCATTATTTTGTGTATTTGGTGTAACAGAATATGTTGACATGCTTTAATGTTCAAAAAACACATTATTTTTCAAATACTGTACATTATTGTAGGTCCTATATGCCTCTCTCAAACGCTTCGTTTTCTACAAAGCCCCCTCCTT